TGTATTAACTGAGTGAGGGCAACTTATTCAGCATCAGGTATAAGAGGAATATTGGTAAATTTCACCACACTGATCACACAATAGTCAAGCCCGCAAGAGAAATGGAACCACCACCATTTCCAGAAAAAAGAGTGCAGAGCAGAGCCACACAGCCTCAGGTCTTTGCTACTTTGTAGTAAAGCTACAAGAGCCCAGCCAAAACAGTCTCTCCCCTGATTCAAACAGACTTTTTATTGTGTATCAAAACATTTTTATGTATCTGTTATTCATAAACGTTTAGTGGCTGTGCAGTTATAAGGAAATGCAAGATTGGTCTAGTCTTACAAAGTGCACAGACTAATACTGATCAGATAAATGAACAGTCATACAAAGCAACTACCAATAATACAACTGCATATGTTAATAAAATTGGTTGTCCAATATGAGTGGGTCCAACCCACAGGTGTTTCTACCTAAAATGCATAGACTCAAGTAAAGTTTATGTTCTATTCCTGGGTAACACTAATCACAGTAGCTTTAAGACTGTAAGTGGTTTACTTAACCTTACTAAGTATTGCTTTATTCATAAAACTGGGAGATTAGGACTCATTTCAGAGGAAAGTCAGCATAACTAAGGAAGACAGACTATTAAGTGCTTGGTGCAGTGCCTGGAACAGGACCATGTAAATGACAACTATTATTATCTTTGTCATAATCATCCTGGAATTTTCTAGATGCTCTTCTTGGAATTTATTATGACATCAGGTATAAATGGAGCATGGCATTTACAAAAGAATAATTCATGTGTATATTTCAAAGTCAATCCTATTCTCTCCCCTTTTATTAATTTATTCATTTGGGGGAAGGACACTACAAGAAGTTCAGATTATTTTAGATGATGACCTTCTTCTCTCAAAACTGCTATTTAAGTAACATATTGTACTATCTTTGATGTTTTTCCGATGGAAAAACCCACGATATTGACATTTGTTTCTTCTAAGTTCCATGAACTTATTTCCACAAGACACATGAAATATTTATGTTGCTTTACTTTCACAAACAAAATCAATAAGCCATTTGAAAGAAATAGCCAGGATCAGACATCAGGTTTCCAACTACAATGGATTGTTATAAAACCCACCTAGAATAAGATGATTTGAAAGTCCAATATCCTTTGTCTATCTCTATATCAAGCCCCAGAATAAAGTCTTTAATATGTTCTTTGTAGGAACAAAGGTCTTGTCTTCTCCACTCTGACAGCCAGGTAGGTTCACCCCACCTGAAGTTCAAGGGTCCTAAGAGTGGCTGAAAACATCATAAATGCTCTGTGTGTAAAAGTAAGTGATTGCACTGATTTGGAAGAAGGAAAGAAGGGTTCCATAAAGAATGAGCTGAATACCATGACACTGTGACCCATCTCAGCAGGCAGATTTACATAGTAGCACATCTAAATTAGAGGGGAGAGTTTCAATGACAAACCTGGAATAAACAAAAGTGATCCTACAGAAAAACAAGGAGTAAGCAAGGCACCAACCATCAAACTGTGAAAGAACTGCTATTTAGAGCAGAATATAGGCAATACATATTGAACAGATTCTCGGAAAACACAACAACTATAGCAAGACATTTAAAACTGAAGCTAAAACACCATTCTGAAGATAACTGTTTTCATTTTCTTTTTTGAATGAGATGGATTTGAAGAAGAAAAGAAAACTTAAGAGACTATTCAAGCAAATATAAATAATGATTATCACTAGATGTAGGGATGATTTTTTTATTTTAATTAAGTTTAGTTATTGTTTATGTATACCTTACTTGCCATATTTTCTATAATAGAAAATACGTTATTTTATTTCTAATTACAAGATTTTTTAACAAAATGGGTGAGATCAGTCATCCAATCATAAATATGGGGTGATCTAGCATAATATATATAGATACATATACAAAGTGCACAGACTAATACTGATCAGATAAAAGAACAATCATACCAAGCAACTACCAATAATACAACTGCATATATTAATAAAATTGGTTGACCAACCTGCCTGGGGGTTGTCCAACCCTCAATTGACTCAGGACCCTCACGGATGAGACCTTACCTTATTGTTCCTTGGAACCCCAATGTCCAATACAGAACCTAAAATATAAGCTACATTTACTAAAAAAACATTTAGCCAAAAAATTCTGGATCTAGCCAAAAATGCAAACAAGCTGACCTTTATATATCCTCAGGATAGTGCATAAGTTGCATCTTCCATCCACATCTACTTAGGACTCACCTGGGAAGCCTCCTTCTGTGAATAGTCCCTTGCTGGGCACATGCTGATATCCTGAAAGATGCGCTAACCCACATTATAGCTTAATGTACCTTGCTATTCAAATCTTCCAATAAGTTCCTTGTCCCCTCCTCTAGCTCCTCTTTCAGTATTGTCTATTGGGTTGAGCCATGTTGTTTTGTCAGGATCTTGCTCTAACAGAACCTTAAGAAATATCACTATGATCGTCCCTCTTGTATTTCTCATTAAAATGTCCAGTCAACTCCAACACTTTAAGAGAACCCATGGGGAAATTTTGTTTCAGATCTTGGTGCCATTAAAATAACTATTTCTCAGAGGAGGTAACACATTTTAATTTTATGAGCACTAGGGATCTTGTAATTGGTCTTTTATCTCTCCGCTTGAAGCAGAGAACCAAATCTATAGCCCTCCTTCCATAAATTTGTAGGTCCTTAGGATGCACTTGTCTTTAAGCTAACTTTGCATTTCTTCTTATTATTCTTTCCTCCCTCTACATAACCTTTATCTTTTTTTTTCATTTCTCAGATACAGTATGTTTTTAGAAGTCCTTCTGGGATGAGGCAGGGTATTAAAAAAAAAAAAAAAACAATAAACCAAAAATTAAACATACCCTCACCAATTCCAAGCTTACTTTGAACACTCTGACCCATGTACCTTGCCTACAAAGACAAGAAAGTAAAGTGCAGCACCATTCTTCTTGCTCTACCAACCAAGGTGTGACTATTATGTGCACTATGACAACGGAGTCTGAATGAAGACCAGAAACCTCTTCCTCTCCTACTTTCTGCCCACCACCTCCAAAATGCACATGATTGTTCATGATTGGTGCACTATTACACCTGTAATCCAAATACTCAGGAGGTTGAGGGAGGAGAATCACAAGTTCAAGGACAGCCTCAACAACTTATGGAGACCCTGTCTCAAAATAAAAATAACTAAAAAGGACCCAGGATAAAGTACCTCTGAGTTCAGTCCCCAGTACCTCCCCCCAAAGCTACTAAACCAACAAGCCAATTTCAATGTTAACTTTATTTATGTTTGGATCTCATTTATAAATTAGTGCAGAGTCAAAGTACTCCCTACACAAGTCATGTTGACCATGTACCTTCTAATTTGTTGAGGAAAAGAAGAAAGTAATGATGTCAGATAACAACAACAACAAAAATGGTTTCTGGAGTGCATCCCCAATGGGTAGCACACTAAACCACACCCAGGTATACATCAATACACAGGTATGCATTCACACAACACAAGCATATTTCAATCTAAGGCCCTCTAGATGCAGCACAGACTCCAATATGTAGGAAGGGATGAAAATCCTCCAAGAATTGGTCCTTAGGACATTCTTTAAAATAAAGTACTTTATTCAGCTATCAAAAAACAACTCTGCTTTGTTGGATACTTGAGGTCCTAATTTACATCTGAGTTTAGAAAGCTGCCACCTCATACATATGCACTTAAGACGCAAATTTCGCATCAGATTCCATATCAATACAGCTGCAAAGCCCAACTCTAGCCACACCTCATCTTTGCTCAGGGCAAAGCCAATCTCAGCAACTTCTCCACATGTAACAGGACAAAATCCAAGTCCTCAGTGAAAGACAATTTAAATACGTGAGGATGTGCATTATTTTCAAATACTGGGACTTGATCCTGCCACTGTACGAACATAAAGAAAGAAAACTGGAAAATTATTAAAGTTGCAGTGCTTGACTAAAGTTCAGAAAAATGGAGAAAAAAATTAGTCGCTGAAACTCTATCACTTGCAATGAAAGACACTTTCAAATTTGATATAAATAGGTTAATTTCAGCCTTTCCAATACCGAAATTACATAAGATTACAGGTGGGGGAAAAAACCTGAGAATTCATCAGAGTGAATGAATGCCTATTACCATAATGAACTGAAATGCACCGGTCCCTTTAAATGCGCTTGTTTCTCCGTATCACAGAAAATATTCGAAGGGCAGAGTTAAAAAAAAAAAAATGAACAAGGACTGTCAGCCAAGAAAACTTCTTTGAGGAACTTCGCGCTCTCACCGGTCTACAGTTTAGCACGCCAAAATCATTGGGGGAGCAGAGGCAAAGGACAAGCACTGCACGGTACAGTGACACTTCGGAAAAGTAACAGCCCAATTACTCTTGTAGCAGCCTAGGTTCTTCCTTTCCAAAGCACGAGTACAGATTTTTTGTACATGCTCTGCCCAAGATCCCGAGGTCAATTTCAAATACTGCTCCTCTGAGAAGTCACGAAGGAGGCTCGCTCACCCAACCCCACCCTGCAAACAGCACACTTCCCGTTCGTTCAGGCCGGTCAAGAACTCTAACTTGACAGTGACACACACTGAGAAAGAGGAAGTGGCTAAAGACCATTTCAAGACATACTTATTTTTCAGACATATCGATGGCTCTCTCTTGCCGGAAAGCTTCAATGGGATGTTGCCATCACACACTCTGGGAAGTTGGAGCGAATGATAAATAAGGTTGCAAAACCGAGGGCAACTCCTTTAAAATATATACAAATTTTTAAATCCTGGAAATCTTCTTGCTTTCAAGTGACTCCTCCCCTGTAGTGAACGCAACAAAGCTAGGAGCTTCCCTCCAGATGGGTCCGATCTCCAAAGCGAGGCTCGGGGCCGGGTAGGTGCGTGGTCAGCCCTGCCAAGTGGCAGAGGGAGCGCCGGGCACCAAGGCAGCCAGGCACCGGCGAGCCCCTCTCTTACCTGGTTTGACTGGTTTGGGAGGCGGCTTCGACATCTCGCTTCTTTGAGCGGCTAAACCTAAAGACCGCGCACGAAGAGCCAACCGATCTCCCGGTCAGCCGGCACTCCAGGCGCCCCAAAGTTTCTTTCTGTCGGACGTGCAGTCCTGCGCCTCCGAGGACCTGCGCCCACCCTTTGCTACGAGAAGAGCGGACGCAGGCAGAGCAGCTCGGCAGAGTGCTCGCCCCGCCCCGCGGCCGCCGAAGCCGTCCCGAGCGCGCGCCGAGCCGACGAGGAAGTGGCCGCCGCCTCCCTGAGCGCTAATTGGCTCTTGGGCTGGCAGCTTCACCGTGGCGGGGACGCGGGTAACGCGCACGGCGGCGGAACCACCCGGAGCCGTGCGAGGGCGCCGCAAGCACGCGCCAGGGTTGGCCTGGCTGCGCGCCCCCGGCGGGAAAGAGCCGGAGCCGTGCAGGGGCACGCGCGCGAGGCCGAGCTCACCAAAGCCCCGCCCCAAAGGAGGCTGGAGCCCGGCTCTGCGTCCCGACCGGACGGGAAAGGAGCTTCCCAGTGGCGGTCCGCACCTTGACTCGCTCGGGGAAAGTGTCTGTAGGCCTCTCGGTTAGCTAGCGGCACGAATCCGCGGGTTGGTGACAGGCGCGCGCTTGGCCGTCTCGCTGCCGCTTGCCTGGGAGGACTCGAACTGGCCCCAGGTGAGTACGTTCCTGCCCCAGCCGCGCCGCCCGGCGCCGTCTCGCTGGGGCCAGAAGTGTTTCTAGAGTGTTCCGGTGCTGCAGCCCAGAACCTTGCAGCGTCTTCAAAGTCCTGTTGTGCCTCTTCCCCCTGAACCGGGCAGGACACGTATTTACAATGCTGTAAGGCCTTCATGCCCCCTAAGAACCCTGGAAATGAGAGTGCTGCCTCCTGGGGACTTCACATTTGTATGGAGAAATCACCCAGGAACAGGATTAGGTCTTAACCCCCATAGGACCAGTCCTTCCAATGCTATTTGAATTGACAAACTACAGCTCGTCTGCCGCCTGTTTTTGTGCGACTAGGATTTTTTTTTTTTWAAATAGCTATGGGAAGTAGAAAGAATAATAAAATTTTGTGGCACGTGAAAATTATACGAAATTCAGATTTCAGTGTTCATAAAGTTTTAGTAGAACATGTCCACGCTCATTTGCAGGCTGTGGCCCTTTGTCATTACAAACACAGGATTGACCAGCTGCCTCGCAAGGCCCAAAACAGTACTTCCTGGCACTTTACAAGAGAAAGTAAATCTGACCTAGCAGATTGAGTCTCTTTGGCAACTAGGACTGGAGCATGCAAGAAAGGCAAAGTGCATAAATTTGAAATAGTATAGTCAGTATTGTAAATCTATTGTATATTTAGAAAAAGAAAAATTGAGAAGAAAATACTGTTTAGCTAAAAACCTACATAAAATGAAGCTTCAAAATTCCTAATAGGGGTTGGTTAAAAAATGTCTAAAACAGTGATTCCAACYGGGAAGGGGCGTGGTTTACATTTTCAGAACAACCTTGGAAGTGTTCTCTGTTTCAGGGAGCAAAGTTCAAACAAGTAGGAAAAGACTGCCCTACTTCATGGAAGAATAGCCAAAATAAAGGAATGAGAAGTTCTAAAAACATTTCACTCTGGTTTAAATATCAAACATTTCACTCTGGTTTAAATATCAATATTTAGATGCATTTGAAAAACATCTTTTTGTTTGCAGTTGTCATCTTAGGCCAATTTTGTGTTAGGGAATTAACTCTCTTATAGTATGTTGATTGATCACATTCCCAGTGGAACCTTTCCATAGTTTAGAATCCAAAATGCACCACKTTAGCTGGACGGTGGCAGTGGTTCACACCTGTAATCTCAGCAACTCAGGAGACTGAGACAGGAGAATTGCAATTCTCAGGCCAGCTTCAGCAATTTGGTGAGTCCCTGTCTCAGGATAAAAAGTGGGGATGTAGTTCAATAGTACAGCACCCCAGTTGCAATCCCAGTCCAAAAAATAAAATTCACTATAGTTAGTAGTGAAATGGATTAAACACAAACACATGCTAATTTTGAAAAAAAAAAATGACTCAACAACATTTAACTTGGGGTGAAAAAAGTATTAAAAAATTGTTCATTTGGATATTGCTCTTGCCACTTTAGTTTGTTCTCATGCAAATGTTCTCTGCTGTTGAAGAAAGCTTTGCACACATTGGGGAAATGAACTACATAAATATTCTCTAAGATTGGAGATGGTAGGTATTCCTAGAGGTAGTGTTCCCTGAATTGATGAAACTGGAAAGTTCAAAAGATTTCTCCAAAAGATATGCAGTTCATAGTTGATCAAACATGTGTTTGGTTCTTTGAAATCTCCTGATGCATATATTTGTAGCCTGGTAGCTCTTCATTGCAAACTTTTTAAATGTGATTTTTAAATAGTTTTTAAAAAGGGCAACAGATGGTGAAATAAACAGATTGTGATATGGAGGCAGACAATGCCCTTCCTGAACTTGGAGTTCAACTGAAGTTGCCTTGTACATCCAACCCTGTTATTGAAATAGGTGGCATCATAGATTTCTGGATCCACCCTGCACTATACCCTTGTTACTCAGCCCAGCCACCTACCTTATTTCTGCATGTTGAGTTTCCCATCTTTCCCACATTGTCATCTGCTCATTGCTAATGGGGTACAYTTGACATTTTAACCAAACACTATCTTGAACAGACCTGGATTGCTAACTAAGGTAGAGCTGGAAATCCCAGTTTTGATAAAAACTAGCATTTGACTGAAGGAGTCCGCTTCTGTTCCTGCCTGAGAGGTATTTTATAAGTAGATTCTTGACTTCCCTGCCTTCTGAATTGATAGTTTCCACACACATAACCCCCTCAAGCCTATTTCCAGTGCCATAAACCACACTTGCTTGTTATTCACATGCTAGGTAATTGAGGCAGTTTCTTCATGTGTGTGCACAGATGTGGCAATTATTATGGGGGATCAGAAGTCCTTTCCATTCAGTGTGCACAGCAAATGTATGCTCCATCAATTATATATCAGAGCCTGACAAACTAGCACACAAGCAACATCCTTTTCATGCTCTTGTTAATAAAGTGCTTTGTAGCAGCTGGAGGTAATGGAAAGACGTTAACTCAATTGATTTAGTTTCATTGCTGACTTTTTCACTTATTAGCTGAAAGAYCTCAGGCATGTCATTCCAGTTTAGGCCAGCTTCTGCTTCTGAGAAATGAAGGCTAAGTGATCTCTAAGACTATACCTCAAGCTTGAGAATTTGTGCTCTGGCAAACTATCCAAAAATAAGGTGGAGACAAGGAAAGAAAAAATGTCGTGACTTTTCTTTTTTTTTAACCAAGTAAGGATATCAGTCTACCACCCTGTACTGACATCATAAGATAAAGGGTATTTTACCACCAAAAAAAGGTGATAAAGAAACCCATCTCAGCCGGACACAAGTGGTATACACCTGTAATACCAGATACTCAGAAGGCTGAGAAAGGAGGATTGCAAGTTCAAGGCCAGCCTCAGCAATTTAGCAAGGCCCTAAGCAACTTAGCAAGACCCTGTTTCAAAATAAATAAATAAATAAACGGACACAAGTGGTATACACCTGTAATACCAGATACTCAGAAGGCTGAGAAAGGAGGATTGCAAGTTCAAGGCCAGCCTCAGCAATTTAGCAAGGCCCTAAGCAACTTAGCAAGACCCTGTTTCAAAATAAATAAATAAATAAATAAAATAAGAAGGGTTTGGGGATGTGGCTCAGTGATTAAGTACATCAGGTTCAACACCCAATATGGGGGGTGCGGGGGGGGACAGAAACCATCTCAAAATGAAGGGCAACTTCTCCCTTCCCCCCAAAAAAGAGTAATTCACAAATTTCCACTGACATATCAAAAATAAGAATAGGGTAGGCTGGGCACAGGGTGCATGCCTACAGTCCCAGCAATTCAGGAGGCTGATAAACAGGCTTTCAAGTTCCAGGTCAAACTGGGCAACTTAGTAAGACCCAACCTCTAAAAATTAAAAAGGGCTGGAGGTGTACCTCAGTTGTAGAGCACCCTTTGGTTGGATCCCTAATACTGAGGGGAAAAAATAGGATAAAATGAAATTCAAAACAGAAACATTATAACATAAAAATTTATTTTACAATAACATTGTTATGATTTTCTCTTGACTCACATTGACAATTTGGATTGAGGTGCATATTCAACAGTGGGACTCCAGATGAAACTCAAATTCTTCTCTCCCATAGGCTGTAGTGAAAGTGGACCTAACCTTAAGCAATTACACTCATTTCAAATATTCTGGATAAACTGAAGAAGCCAAGGAACCACTGTTCTCTCCCCACCAGGTTCTTCTGCACACCCCACACCCCAGAGGAGTATAGACACAGGTCAGGAAAAAGAGGGGTCAGGGCTGCTGGAGCCTTCATCTCAGCAGCCACTCATGCCTGGCTGCACAGCTTAGGTCCCTGACCATCCTACAAGAGCAGACAGGAAGAGCAGCCTCAATCAGGAATGACCTCCTGGAACCACAATTCTAAGGGTCTCTCCAGCCATACTTCTCCTTTTCACTTAGAGATGAAAATGATGTAATTGCAAGGATCCCTTTGGTGAATTTTAGGGGATGGTAGATGAAATGCCCTAGACCAGGGGTCAATAAGATAGCCTGGCCCTCTGCCTGAATGTTGGCAGTTTCACAGTAGAGAACGTAGGCATTGAAATCCAGTTAAGGGACGAGTTATCCCAATAGAAAGGGATTGCCATTCTTCTCGGTAGCAGACTTGAATTGTCCCCACATACACAAAATGTATGTAATTATGATTATATGTTGAGTGTCATTAAAAAGTTTGTGAAGATTTGTTTTTGGGTTTTTGTTTGTTTTTTCCTCTTGTGTTGTAAGTCCCCTAGGTAATAACCCAGATTTGGTCTCTTGGCCTGCATAGCCTCAAATATTTATCTGGCCCTTTTCAAAAGAATTTGCCTAGCCACGCCCTGGATTTAGGCTTTTGGATGAAGAAATAATGCCAGGAAAGCACATTAACTCGTGATTGCCTCTGGCCATTAGTGACTTTCTTCCTTTTTCACAAGAGAGTCTAGCCCAAGAGCAATGCTTGAGTCACCCAGATAACTGAATCTGCAGGTGAGAGGTGACCTGGCTAAGGTGAAGCTGAAAGTCTGCAGACTTCTCTATGATCTGGCAACACTTCTATGATCTTGAAAACAGAGAGACTAACAGATGTGTGCATGGCTGTGGTGGGGGGACCCTCTCAGCTCACTAGACACTAGTTTACAGGCCCTGAGCAAGCACCAGATGTTAGCACTTGGCAGTGACTTACCAGCAGGAAAGCTTTGTCACAGCTTGTGGGTAATGTGAAGCTGGAATAACAAACCATCWCGGCCATCCTCCCCTCTCAGTTGGTGCTAATTCATGACTCTCTTACCTCTCTAGACAACAAAATGATATTCAATTTTTTTTAATTTTAGGAAATATTAGGAAGACGTGATTTTCAAAACTAATTATGAAAACATTTGTCATTGGAATTGGTGGGTGAGTAACTTTGCTGCAAATAGCTAGTCACGATACCCAGCTGACCTAATGAAGTTTTCATGTGGTTGTGATGATGGAAGGAGAAGCAGGGGGAAATCCGGAGTCCTAGAGAAGAGTAGGCTGCTGTAGAGTGCTGCTGCATCAATACCAGCAGATGGGAGAGTTTCCCATAGACAGAAAGAGAAGGGTCAGTCAGCGGCGTTTTACACAGTTGACAGTTTACTTTCTGGAGCTATCACCAGAGGCAAAGCTGGATTAGACACTACTGTGGTTCTGCCTTCATCTAGATTCATCCTACAGTTGCTCCTCTTTTTGGATTTTGCTACTGCAAGTAGCTTCTTGTGACTTACATGTTTCTTTTTGGCCTACCACTAGGGACCAACTTGGTTCACATACCCTCAATCCCTGGGGTAAAACTGATGGGACAACATTGGTTGGTTAAGTAGGCCCTGTTCTGGAGTTGAGCGTGGGGTTCATTGCTGCCAAACCAGACCTCAAAAAATGGCATGGATCCTGGGGAAGCAAATGCACCGTCCCCTAGAGGATCCACGCTGATTTTCCTTCTCCGTGTGTGTAAGATTTCCTTCTTCTCCATGTTCCAGTATGATGTCCTCTGTCCACAAACGTGCCTCATACCTGTGTGTCACGTATGCTATTACTTTCCCTTACTCCTAAGGAAAGCTTCCTTCCCATTGTTTCCTCTGTAACAAGCACCACGACTTCATTTAGTGCTGCTACTTGTGGGAAGCCTATGTGAGACTCAGCACTGGGACTTCTGTCCCTGCCTTCCATCCTTCTCCAAACCCACTGCATTGTAGCTTCCCTGGGTATCTAACCACTTCCTGCCTTATGAGGTCATTATTCTGTTAAGACTGTAAGAACTTGTAGAAGTGCTAAAATCTAGGGGCATCCATGAACCTCCTGAAAATGTAATGCATATGTAAAGATATTCATTTTGGGGTAAAAGGGTTTATTTTATGTATGGATATATGTATTTTGGTGTAGGGGATTGATCCCTAGGCTTTAAGCACAGTAAGCATGCCCTCTACCACTGAGCTGCATTCCCAGCCCCTGGGAAAGGGGCTTATAACCTTCATCAGATTCTCAGAGTTCCACCAAGATCCAGGTGTAGATTTTGTGTCTCCTCTCCACTACTGACTAGTTGTTACCTTGGGCAGGTTTTCTTAATATACAACTTTTCAATCTTTGGTTTCAGAAACTGGAATATGGGAACATTCATATCTACCTGATGCATAATGAATTCTTTAGTTGTTTGAGTGATTCTAGACTCCCTTTTTAACTTCTCCCTAGCCACTGTCATGTTCCAACTGCATTGAGCCCTCTTGTTACCTGGCATGTAAGCCGGGAATTGGACATTTATTTGGATATCATAAACAAAGAAGTGAGTGTCACCAAATAGTCACCCATTTTCTGTCCTCTAATCCTAGGGTGGAACATGTTCTGGGGGCTCTTCACCCCCAGGATGGATGGCATGAGCATGTGAGAGAGGTTGTGAGTCTGCTGAAGGAAAAAGTACTGAGTCCTAAGTTGTCACCTGACCAGGATGGCCACATTCCACATACAAATCCTAGGCTCAGACTTATGCTGGGAATTGAACCCAGGGCCTTGTGCATGCTAGGCAAGTGCTCTACCACTGAGCTACACCTCAGCTCCTAGGCTTAGACTTTTTATACCTTTTTACCCCTATCCTCTCTGTGACCTGCATCTCCTAACTAATCCAAACCTTGCACAAAAATGGTGATTATTTCTCACTGGCTCCAACTAAGTCATTGAGAAGGGATCTAATTACTATGGTTCAACTGCATGATCTTAACCAAAGGTATAAAAGTCTGGAAAGTGACACATTTTCTAACCAGATTGCTTAGCCCTAATAAAGGCACCCATGTATATTCCTATTTTAAACCAATATTCATTATATAAAACATGGACTTTCAGTATGTTTTACAGATACTTTGTTTAAAAGGAAAAAGGTCATAACAGTGTTCTCTCAAGACATAATACCCACACATACATACTTTTCCTTATTTTCAAATATCCTACCCAACTATGCATTGTAAAGGTTAAATGAAAAATCTTGTGACTTCATTTCTTCTTCTTCGTACATAAAAGGTAATTAGGTGATTATATACAACAAATAATTTTGATGAATAATAGTTCAGTTTCACTATTCTAAAGATTATCAACATTGCAATAATGACCTCATCTGAGATTAAGCACAGATTCTTTCAAATAGAGGTACAATTGGGGGTTTTGTGCTGTGGACATTTGGTAGCATTGTAAAATCTTGACCTCTTTTTATTTTTTTATTTGTTTTAATTAGTTACACATGACAGTACAATGACCTTGACATATCATACATTTGAATCACATGGGATACAATATCTTGACCTCTTTTTAGAGCAGTGATTTTAAATGCACAAAATAAAACCAAGAATACAAAGGAAATCAGTTACATTAAAATATAGTTATAAAATATTTTTAAATAAATTTGTACCATGTGAAGTATACACTTCTTTGTTAACATAATTAATAACAATATAATATACATTGGTAGGTTTTAAAACTGCAATAAATTTAGAAATAATAATGAGCATCAATGCTGATTGATAATATCCATCCCGCTGTAGTACAGGATGAAAATCTGTGCAATTTCTATTGGTGACAAAGTCTTGGGTGTTGTAAATACTACTCTGGTTTATTACTTATAATTATGGGAAATGCTAACTTTCTGTTAAAATTTATTGAAAATAAAGGATTAATTTCTTTCCCATTTAAGTTCACAAAAACCTGAATTCTCTCACAGATCCTTTGGAGGTGCATGAGTCCCAGATTAAAACCCTCTGAAAAGGTGACTGAGTAGAGCAGTTCCTCCCCTGTGCCATGCAGGGAAACAAGGCACAGAAAAATCAGGTGTCAGTTCTCCTTGATGTCACAATCCAGCCAGAAGGACAAATAACTGACCTGATATGATAAATGACTGTGGACCTCCCCGTTATATACTTGCACTAAAATGTGCCACCCATTTTTTTGTGTCGCATATGAACCCCATGAATTTTGCCATAAGCAAAAATTTATTTTGCTTCCAACACAACATGATTTTCCAATCATAGTACCTAACTCACTTACCTGATAAGTAGTTGCCTTTCTCCTCCATCCTTCCCAGCTTATTTCTTACTATTTAGTGTAGCATATCTATTAGTGCCCTTGATTTTGCCAATAGAAAAAGCAGTACCTATGAGAGAAGTCATTTTTGGATCAGTAAATATTTTTCTAAAAAGTTCATTTTAAAATGTTCATGTTCATAATGAATTCTTTCTGGATGTTTTCTTTTTTTCATTTGGTTCAGTGTGACAAATGGTGGGAAGACAACACTGGCTAAGAACTTACAGAAACACCTCCCAAACTGCAGCGTAATATCTCAGGATGACTTCTTTAAGGTATCTGAAAAACTGATAAAAATTTTTAGCACAAAAATGTTTAATGACAAAGTTATTTTAATTACATCCCCCAAACCTTTGCTGAGCAATGTGCCTTTGTAGAGCTAACTCAGCGCAGTAGTGCATCATATCCACTAGAGGGCACCAACTTTTACTGCTGGTCTTTGCGCTTATCATCCTCCAAAGCATTTATTAAAGGCTGTCTCTTTATATTGTGTGATTGCATCATTTCTTCCCTAAATACTGTTTTGATGGGTACTTTATTATTTTTCCAGCCAGAGTCTGAGGTAGAGAGAGATAAAAATGGATTTTTGCAGTATGATGGTAAGTAGATTAGCTTGTAAAACATGCACTTATGTTCATTTTCTTTTTCAAACCTTAAAACATGTTTAAATATATTGTTGTACTGTGAACCTACATTTGTAGGTTTCTGATTTATGTTTAACTATTTAAATAGATCTTTCTCCCAGATTTATATTTAAAATTTAAAACATTGAGATAATAGATTTTCCTTCTGAAGCTAGGATTAGGTTCAACATCTTTCTACTTAACCCTGCCCTGGGTATAAAAAACTACTATACTAAAATCCCCAACCTCACCCCACCAGACTATCTCTCCTGGAGCGAACCCTAAGTTTTCCTCTTCTAACTTTTCTTCCTGGTGGCCTGAATACCAGGCAGCTTGTTTTTTTTTTTTTTTTTTTTTTTCTTTTCACTATTCAGGAAGGCATGGGAATATCTTTCAGATGCATTCACCTCATTTTCCTTACCCACAGCTAACACTATTTTGTAACCAAAGTATCAAAATCCATCAGAAAATATTTATCTTCCTGTAGAGAATATCATAATAATAGACTGTATTATATTTAATGCTCTTAATAACCTTTATAATTAACAGAATGAACATTGAGTACTTATGCACACTGGCAAAGAATGAGCTATCTTAAAGGGTCATAAAGTACATTATTTTTAAGTTTGATAACCTTGGAGGGAAAGTGTTATGTAAGAGTTCTTATAGACACATGATAGTTTTAAGAAAAACAGTCCTTGACCCACTCTATGTTCTTGTGTCAAGTTGCAACCAGGATATTGTTTTCTTCTCTCATACAAAGCTTACTGAGAAAGATTATTACAAAGCAAGAGTGAAACCATGAAAAACTGGTTTCACAGTTTGACAAAGAATCACCATTCTCTCTGTCTTCTCTGCACTGGGAGCAGCTTTCTTGCCACTGCCCCTCACCCCCTGAAAATGTATGCCTGCTCCAGGTTCCTCTCCACCCACTCCTTGGTCAGGAGCACCTCTCATCTGCTGAGCCCACCACTGTCTGCAGTGGTTCTGAACCGACAAGAGACACTGACATATGAGAGCTTCAGCAGCTTGACAGTCCCATGTCCCCTGACCTCACTTATCCCTCACTGCCGCTTCCAAACCAGCACCATTTCAAGGGACATTGACACAGCAGCCAAGTTCATTGGGGCTGGGGCTGCCACAGTTGGTGTGGCTGGCTCTGGGGCTGGGATTGGGACTGCATTTGGAAGCCTTATCATTGGTTATTCCAGGAACCCTTCTCTGRAGCAACAGCTCTTCTCCTATGCTATTCTGGGCTTTGCCCTCTCAGAGGCCACGGGCTCTTTTGCCTGATGGTGGCCTTTCTCATCCTCTTCGCCATGTGAAGGAGCAGTCTCCGCCTTAAATTCTTTCTCCCATGTCTTGTCTGCCTTGTATGTCCCTTTTCCTATACTTCCTCAGGCAATCTGGGGAAAGTGGTTGGCTCAGGGTTTGACAGAAGGAAGACAAATAAATACTATATTAATAAGAAAAAAAAAAGAATCACCGTTCTTCCATTTTAGTGAGTTTTTGCAAACTGATAAGAAAAAAACTAATATCCCAGTAGAAAAATGGTGTGTATGTGAATAAGTTGTTCACAGAAGTAGTAGGCCATTTGATTAGTAAATGTATAGTGAATATTCAACCTCCAAACTTGTCAGAGAATTGCAAGTTACCTTTATTCCTACTTACTGTTAGGGTGGCTGGTGCAAATATCCACAAGAGAGACAGAGTCAAGCAGAGACTATCTGCCAGGCTGTCCTTCTGCAAGGCACAGCAGCCTGCTGAAAAAAAATCTTAATTTTATAGTCATGTACAATGAAGTGGTTAAAAAATAATCCATCTGGTCCTATGATTCTTACTTGGCATCTTTTTTGTGGTTTTGGTAGTTAGGGACTCTTTGGAGCAGGCTTCTTAGGATGGTGGATGCTGATTTTCGAAATGGAGTTACTTTGGCCTAAAGATCTAACACTTACCAAGTAAACAAAGATCTTTAAAGCAGTGATTGCATGGGCTCCGTAAGTCAAAAATGTACACAGGTACTTTAGACTGAAGTATAAATTGATACAAGCTTTCTGGAAAAAAATATTGAGCATGAGTCTCAAATACCTTAAAATACCATGAGCTCAAGTATCCCCCATCCAGGAGTCTATTGTAAAGAAAAACTTGAACTTTTCAGGTAATGTGCAAATATAAGCTAAGTCAAGGTGATGTTGACACTTTTATAAGCATTAAAAAAAATTAGTTTAAAAGTGTATAACTATTGAGTCTGAGGCTGTAGCTTAATGGCAGAGCACCTGCCTTGCATGTGTGAGGCACTGGGTTCAATCTTCAGCACCACATAAAAATAAATAAAGATATTGTGTCCATCTACAATTTTTTTAAAAAGTGTATAACTATTAAATTATAGAGGAAACAATTTTTGCAATATAGTTGATAAATCAAAAGCAGGAATAAAAAAATCAAAGAATGAAAAACAAATAAAAAATAACAATAAGGTGATAGATTTCATCCCCAAAAGTATCAGTAGCTACATTAGATTAAACAAATTAAAATACTCCAAAGATGTCAGACTGTATTTTTTTTTTTGAGAGGAGGGGTGGTACTAGGGATTGAAACCAATAATGCTTAACCACTGAGCCACATTCCCAGCCCTTTTCATTTTTTATTTTGAGACAGGGTTTTGTTAAGTACCAAGGGCCTCACTAAATTGCTGAGGCTGGCTTGATCCTCCTACCTCAGCCTTCCAGGTTGCTGGGATTATAGGTACACACCACTGTACCCAGCTTGAATTTTTTTAAAGCCAACTATAACCTCCTTAAAAGAGAGAGACTTAAATTTGAGAACACAGAAAAGTAGACAGTAAAATGATAGGAAAAGATGATGTCTATTGAAAGAAAACTGGCATAACTGTACAAACTATACTCAGAGCAGACAAAGTAAGCTTTAAGGCAGAGTGTTACTAGGGATACAGAAGGATAAATGTGTCCATTCAACAGGAAGATAAAACAACCTAAAATTTCAATGTACCTAATAACATGACATCAAAACATACAAAGTAAAAACTGACAGAACTAAGAGGAATATAGACAAATCCATGATTATGGTGGGAGATTTTAGCACAACTTCAATCATGTTTGATAGATTAACAGGTACCATAGACTGGATAGCCTAAACAAATAGGTATTGTCCCATGGCTCCAAAGACTGGAAGAGTAGGCAGGACTGGGGCCCTCTGAGGGTTGTGGGGAAAAGCTCATCACACTTCTCTCCTGGCTTCCTATTGAGTGCTTAGCATTCTCCAGCCTCTTTGCATCACACTCTCTCTTCCTTCATCTTCACAGGACATTGTCCCTGTGACTATGTCAAAATTCCCCCTTCTCTAAAGACATCAGTCTTATTAGAATAGGGGCCTGGCATTGTTTCTGTGCACCCTCATCTAATTAATATCTGCAGAGAACGTGTTTTCAAATAGGATCACATTCCAAGTGCTGGGGGCTAGGACATCAACATACAAATATGGGGCACAGTGTTTAACCATAACACTTAGGATCTAATGGAATTAGCAGACAAAAATTGCTAGTGCTATAACAGAACTTAACAGAGCAGTTAACAAACTTGACCAAATTGACCTATATAGAGCATGCACCCAACATCAATAGAACACAGGGTTTGTGCAAGAGCACATGGGACATTAGCCCTAACGGACTGTATGCAAGAGCATGGAGCAAATCCTAATCAAGTTCAGTGGGTTGAAGGGATATAGAGATACTCTAATTACAGTGATTAATCAATAATAAAAGGCAAAGGTGAACATTCTGAATTTCTTGAAAATTAAGTAGTATTGTTTTTAATTTTTAAAACATTTTCTTGTGGAAAATTTTAAACATACAGAAGTGGGCAGAAAGTATAATGAATTCTCATGGGTTCACTGTCCAACTTTAAAAATGATGTCTATTTGGCCAGTTATATTTCATCTACACCTACCCACTTTCTCCTTTTAAAACAAATCCCAAACAGCCTCATGTTTTATCTGAAGTGGTACACTTATGTGTCCCATGGATCAAAAGGTAAATCACAGTGGGGCTGGGGTTGTAGCTCAGTGGTAGAGCACTTGCCTAGCACATTTGAGGCACTGGGTACTATCCTCAGCATTACATAAAAATAAATAAATAAAATAAAAATATTTATGTCCATCTACAACTAAAAAAGTTTTTTTTACAAAAAAGGTAAATCACAGTGTAACTAAAAATATTTTAACTAATAACAAAAAAAAAAAAACAAACTCGTATGACTTCTGGTTCTAACCACATTGTCTAACCACATTGTCCCTGTAACTGACTATATCAAAATTAGTCCCATTTCTCATTGGTCCTCCCTCTTACAGCCAGAAACCCTGCGTGGGCTCTCTCTCATCCAGCGAGGAGGTCCACAGAACAGGGTAGAGGAGAATGTGGCTGTGGAGTCGCTAATCAAGACCTCCAGAGACCAAGCAGGAAGCAAGTCTGATTTTATCGCACAGTTACTACCTATATATACTCAGGCAGTAGCTAAGCAGATTACAGGCAGCCACCAATGCAATTTCTGGCCAACTGTCCTTGCAGCTACCAATCAAGGAGTGAGCTGTGGAGCAGGCGCAGGGACTGCAACATGCGGCCTCACTCCCAGGGCTGTGCCTACAGGGTAAGCGGTTTGCCACTCGGACACAATTAGTGTATGCCATGTATGCAGTACTCCATGCACTTGTCCCCAGAAAACCCCAGATATCATACAACCAACAAGCAAAGGGAGACTGAAAGGTGAAAAGAAGACTATGAACTGGCTAAGGATTCAGGACCTAAGGAATGACATGGCTATGAGTTCCGTGGGGCCTCTGCCTCTCACATTCCCAGGATGAGATACTAGGGAGTTGTGAAACATGGAGCCATCAGTAGGTACAGGCAGAAAAGCTCCAAGAAACCTGTACTATATAATCACAGGACCGGGAAAGTGTGGCCTAGCAGAGTAGAAAATCTTCTTGATAATCTCCACCCTGCTCCACCCAAACAAAAACATGCTTCCCTCAGAGTGTCAGCAGCACCAAGTAAGAGGTAAACTTCTAGGCCCGCCCAGCACCAGCAAGATGGTGTGAGTTGGCCCCCACATCACCTTAGAGGTGGGGTCAGAAGAGCCACCTAGGAAACCTGATAGCAGATGCCAGGCAGAATGATGGGGTGTGGGTTGACACTCCGCCTTCTTCACCTAGGTAGCTCAGCCGTTGTCATCAGGACCTAGTGGAAAGCAGAGCTTCTGTCCTTACCTGGCAGCCATGGAGTTGAACCAGTGCTCTGCTCTTCCCTTCCCACATATCAGCAGGGCCCAGCAGCAGGCTGAGCATCCATCCCCATTGGCCCCTGCACAAACCTTTCAGTGGGGTAACTGCTGGCAAAATAAAAGAAAATTGAGTAGGATCCACAGTCTCCCAACTCAACACCTAAAACTTTCAAGACACAACTGAGAATCACTGTCATGTCAAGAACCAAGAAAATCTCAACTTGAGTAAGGAAACAGTCAGTAAACATCTGGCATGATAAGACAGATGTCAAAATTATGTGATGAGGGCTTAAAAGCAATATTATAAATAGGTCTCAACAAACAATTGCACTTGCTCAGAGCAAGTGAAAAATTAGAAAATCTGAGTAAAGAAATAGAAGGTGTAAAAAAAAGAAGCTTTGGAAAAATAATAATGACCAAAATTTTAAAACTCACTGGACCAAAATTTTAAAACTCACTGGGTGATCTCAACAGCAGAATCAGTAATGCAAAGGAAAGAATCAATGAACCTAAAAGACAAAGGGATAGAAATTACACTGAACAAAAGGAAATAAATGAAAAAAAAAACAGAAATGTGGAACAATAACAGAAGATCTAATATTTATATCATTGGAGTTTGAGGCAGAATAGAGAAAGAGTGTGTGGTACTAAGAATTCAATCCCAGCAGCTTGGGAGGCTGAGGCAGGAGGATTGCAAGTTCAAAGGCAGCCTCAGCAACTTAGTGAGGCCCTGTCTCAAAGTAAAAACCAGGCTGGGGATGTGGCTCAGTGGTTAAGCACTCTGGGTTCGATCCCTGGTACAAGAAAAAGAAAGAATTCAAAGAAGGAATAGCAGAAAACTTCTCAAATTAAATATGAGACAAATCTACAGATTGAAGAATATGAGCAGTCTCCAAACAGGTTAAACAAAACTCAGAAAAAAAAAAAAAAAACATGAAGTCTGGGTGCAGTGGCACAAGCCTGTAATCTCAGCAGCTCAGGATGCTGAGACAGGAAAATCACAAATTCAAAGCCAGCCTCAGCAATTTAGCAAGGCCATAAGTAACTCAGCAAGACCCTGTCTCTAAATAAAATATTAAAAAGGGCTGGGGATGTGGTTCAGTGGTTAAGCACCCTTGGGTTTAATCCCCAGTACCAAAAAAAGAAAAAAGAAAGAAAGAAAAAGAATAGCATAAAGAAGGCACAAACTAAAATACCAAAAGCAATAATGATATTATGGCTACAGTCCTGCAGATATTAAAGTGATGAGAACACCCTTATGGGGCTGGGGCTGTAGCTCAGTGGTAAAGTGCCTGCCTCACATTTGTGAGGCACTGGGTTCAATCCTCGGCACCACATTAAAAAAAATTAAGATACTGTATGTTCATTTACAACTAAAAYAAAATTTTAAAAAAGAACACCCTTATGAAATAAATTGAAAGACTTTGATGCAGCTGACAATTTTTATAGAGAAGTATCATTTACTAAAAGTAACAACATTTCAGAAAAATCTCTGTAGTCCTATATCTATTAACTAAATTAATCCATACTTTTAAAACTTTACACACACACAAAAAAAAAAAAAAACCTCTGAGCCCAGACCAGACAGTTTAATTCATTCAGTTCTAAGGCTGAGAATTTGTATTTCTGATAAGTCTTCAGGGCTGGTCTTGGTAACCACAATTTGACAACTGTTACAGGCTACTTTTCTAAAATCATAATTACAAGTTCAAAAAGTATGCACATTTTAGAGTTTAAAATAGTGTGTTCATGTCCATTGTAATTTAAGAGCTCTTTAATTAAAAAATTTTATTAGCTCTTCACCAAATACAGTGTGCCAAATACATTACAGATATTTTTCCACTGTCATTTCTCTTTTGTACTTGTCTTCCAAAAATTTTTAATTTTTGTATAGTCAAAAGAGAGTAAAGCCCAGTGCTATGGCGCAAAGCTATAATCAAAACAGCTCAGGAGGTAGAGGCAGGAAGATCAGCCAGCCACAGCAACTTAGGAGATCCTAAACAACTTAGTGGAAGCCCTGTCTCAAAATAAAAAACAAGAAGGGCTGGGGATGTGGCTCAGTGGTTAAGCACCCCCAGGTTCAATTCCTGAGGTAAAAATAAAAATAAAAGCAATAAAGCAAAGTTAGCTATGAGTTTATAATAGTCAGAGCTGGAAGCAGAGACACAGAATTCACTGAATTACTTTCTACCTTTATATGTTTGGGATTTTCCACAGCAATAGTGTTTCAGGCACCAGTTTATCAATATTATTAGTTTCAATTGGTTATCTGAAGTATTTGTAGGTGTCTTGAAAGATAAATAATACTCATCACAAAATGCCATATAACAAATTTTTTTTCATTGATTTCACATATTTGTCTGAAGTGCTTGAAGCACTTAACATGGAAGAGATGATGTCAGCCATTTCCTGCTGGATGGAAAGTCCTGGACATTCTGTGGAATCAACAGATGGCACAAGTGCTGAGGAAATTCCCATTTTAATCATCGAAGGTTTCCTTCTGTTTAATTATAGGTAAGTAGCATTTCTACTCTAGTATTGACTCTGAGTGAATGGTGAAAAAGACTGAACTAATTAATTATGCTGTTATCTTAAGGCCCCTTGACACTGTATGGAATAGAAGCTACTTCCTGACCATTCCCTATGAAGAATGCAAGAGGAGAAGGAGGTATGTTAAAGACAAGATTTTGGGGAAGTGAGGAAAACAAAATTATTGAGCAATGTTCATTATTCAAACAAGGGAGGTCTTAACTCTTACAACGTAAGTGGCCATCTATGTGGAATAGTGTGCAGTACTTCTGTAAGAAAAGGGCCTTATGTCAATCTCTCTGGCTCATTTCTCCTAAATCTCCAAATGAAGCAATCCATGTTGATTATGATTTGGGGTTAGTGGGCCTGTATTCTACAACAGCTATAAAAAGCACCAGTGAGTTTAGAGCTTAATCCAATGTGTCAGTATCTCTATCATTATTTACACTGATACTTGTCTAAATTCTTTTGTAAAGCACTTGAGGGGAAAAGACATAATTTTGAATGATCATCAATGAATTACAAAGTTAGTGTTTGTATTGGAGAACTAAATTTACTGTATCTTTCCCAAGTGCCATTGAATTTAAAAATCCTGTTAGACTTAATCTGTGAGCAATTTTCCCATTATCCTTACCATTGCTATTTTACTTTATCAATTATGTTTCTATCAACATAAAGTTTCCTGCGTGTTTTGATAGTACAAGAGTCTACAAGCCTCCAGACCCTCCAGGGTACTTTGATGGCCATGTGTGGCCCATGTACCTAAAGTACAGACGAGAAATGGAGGACATCACACGGGAGATTGGTAAGTGCCTTTTCTCCTTCCATTTAAGACTTTTTAGGTGTCATTTGCCTCAAAGTGTAAGAATGAAGTTGGTCATGGTGGCACACTCCTGTAATTCCAGCGACTCAAAAAGCTGAAGCAGGAGGATCACAAGTTTGAGAACAGCCTCAGCTACTTAGTGAAGCCCTAAGAAACTTAGTGAAACCCTATCTCAAAATAAATTTTAAAAGGCTGGGGATGTTGCTCAATGTTTAAGAACCCCTGGGTTCAATCCTCAATACCAAAAAACAAAACAAAACAAAAAAGTGTAGGAAAGAAAGGACTGAGATCTGAGATAAGTTTTTCTCATGTAGAAGATCATGAAGGGACACTTGAACCCTCTGGGTTCCCCTCTTCCACACTGGTTCTGCTGGTTTATTTCTCTCTTTGTGCCTCTTTTCAAAAGCTGGTCCATTTCTAGATGGCCATCAGTGACTGAATGCCTTGCATGTGCACGGCACTGGCCTGGAGATAGCAGGTGAATAAGGCAGACCTGGTCCCTGCTCTCAGGCAGCAGACTTTCTTTCAGGGAGCAGCATTAAAGGCTTTAGCAAGCTGCACAAGCATGCTCTTTCCCCAGGGTAAGTGCTGCAATACCAAACTCCAGGTGACCATCCAAGTCCCAGCACTCAGGGAAGAGTGCTTCATGCCACATTCAAAACAAACTCATGAGTTTAACTGGATGAAAGGTTAGGATGGATGATCATCCCTGACAGTGGGTAGGGTACATGAAAAGGCCAGGGATCAGGAAATAATGAACTGCACCTGAAAAAGAGCTGGTGTGTTTGTGTCAGAGAAAACCAAGGGGGAGAGTTGATGCTGGTGTATCGGGCTGGGTCAGTCAATAAACCAGTTAAGGATTTGGGTCATTTTCCTATGAGAAGTGGGGTGCTCTCTACAGAGCTTTGTATCCAGGCCAYGATAGATACAAATTCTTTTGAGTAAAACCCTTCAGCTGTGTGGAGGATGGACTTAGAGGGTACAATATAGGACACAGACACTAAATAGATCTGGGGAACATAGAGCATACAGGAATTGAGGTATCAAAGACTTGAGATGAAAAGCTGGGTGTTGTGGTGCACACCTGTAATCCCAGTAATTTGGGAAGCTGAAGCAGCCAATCTCAGCAACTTTGCAAAGCCCTAAACAACTTAGCAAGACCTTGTCTCAAAAATAAATAAATAAATAAAAAGGTCTGGGATGTAGCTCATTCCCCAGTAAAAATGGAAAAAATAAAAAGATTTTAAAGGGAAAGAAAGGCAGTAAGAGGACATCACTGCCCAGTGGCCCAAACTGGAAATGCTATAGCCAGAACCTCAGCAATGGCTCTGGAGATGGACTCTTCTTTCTGTACAGCTCTGACAGATCTACATGCCTTGGAGGCTAACAAGCTTCTCGCAATATAGACTCCTTTCAGGAACTATCAGGTGTTGTTTCACAAAACAAATAGAGCTAGGGTGGAAGAAACGGCATAAGGCTATTGTATTGGATAAGGCAGGGGAATCAGAACTGACATAGACTTTTCAGAACAAAGGATCTCATCCATTAATAAACCTGTTACCATTTAAAACTGCCCTCTCTTCCCCTTCTCAGTTTACTTAGATGGAACAAAACCAGAAGAGGACCTCTTTGCACAAGTATATGAAGATGTAATACAACAACTTGCAAAACAGAAGTGTAAGTACAGTCCTATCAAAGTGGATGGTAGAGGAGGGACAGCCAGAAAAATAGTTCATTACATACTCAAGAATGGCATATAAAAATGCTAATGAGGAGTGATTGTATTCATTCATTCTTTCCTTTGAGGATAACTGGGAATCAGAAATCCAATTTGAGTTTGGAGATTTGATTACTTTGTATGTTAGGTTATTTTTTTTTTAGGGGTTAAAATATTTGCCCCTTTGTTACATCTTTTAGCATATTTTTGTTACTTACTTTAAAATTGTAGTAAACCACTGTCCCAATGGGACTGAAATTATTTTTTTGGGCAAAGTGCAATTAAAATGAAAATTATTTTAATATATCTAGAGCATCCCTTTTTATTTATTCCCTTAAATGTTTTCTTTAAAATTTCTTTTTTACAAATGCCTAAAAATAAACATTAGATTTTTTTAAATTATGAAGTATGTTCTTGATGGTTTTCATATTAGCTCTTTTTGCTGCAAGACATGGAAATCTACCTAAATCTGGCTTAAGTAAAAAAGTAGAGACAGCACTGACTTCAGGCTCATCTGGATTAAGGAGCTCAAATAGTGTCCTCAGGGCTCTGCTGCAGTTCTGTGTGAGTTTATTTTGAAGTTAGGCTTTCTCCACCGTCAGATACATGTTCTATTCTCAGTGTTCATCTCCCAGGTCCAAAAGCCCAGTGTGGAAACATACCTTATCTTTTTTTTTCAAGATTGCCTGTGAGTGGATAAATTTTGGTGCTGTGGATTGAGTTCAGAAAGGTTCATGTCTTATTCTCACTACGTGTGTGTGTGTGTGT